CGGGGCTGCTCTGTCTCCCACCACACGCTTTCTCCGGAGGGTGCGGAGGGGACCATGCCTTCTCTGCCCTCACTTGTCCTCCTGCTGCTGATGCTGCTTGTGCCGGGAGCTGCGGTGATGCAAAGCAGGGCTGGGCAGCCTGGGGAAGGCAGCACCTACCATGCCCAGGGTGCAGATGGAGGAAGGACTCTGCTGACGGTTTCCCAGGAAAGTCAAGAAGTCCAGGTGATGAAGGAAAGGGTGCGCCGGGGGACGGAGGAGGACTCCAAGTCGGTGCAGCAGTATGTGCCAGGGGTGCAGGTGGAGTTCCCGCGGCCCCTCAACTCTGCCAGCCTGCACCCAACCAAAGCCCTGCTGCCATCAAGCACGGACCCATCTGAGCAGCAGCAAGGGGTCCCCACAGACAGGGAGGCAGCAGAGCCCCGAGCCAACCTCACTACCATGTCCGACAAACGGTTGCAAATCCAGAACCCCTTGTACCCGGTGACAGAGAACTCCTACAGTGCCTATGCTGTGATGTTCCTGTCCCTCATCGTCTTCGCAGTGGGCATCATTGGAAACCTCTCCGTGATGTGCATTGTGTGGCACAACTACTACATGAAGAGTGCCTGGAACTCCATCCTGGCCAGCCTGGCTTTCTGGGACTTCCTCATCCTCTTCTTCTGCCTGCCTGTGGTCATCTTCAACGAGATCACCAAGAAGAGGCTGCTAGGGGACGTGTCCTGTCGCATCGTGCCCTTCATGGAGGTAAGGGGCTGCACAGGGCCCTGGAGGGCTCAAGGACTCATCTCCTCCCTGCTCTCTTGCTTTGGGGGGAGTCCATGCTGCCCATGGCCTGGCGCAAGGGCTGTGTGCCCCAGAGACCCCCATTGTGGGGCACAGCAAGGAGCCGAGGGACGGTCTCAATACTGACCTTCCCTTTGCCTCTGCCTGGGACATTCCTCAGGCTCTGCAGCCAGCAACAACGCTGCCAGGGCTGGGAAGAGCCCATGAAACCCTCCTTTGTCCAGCCAGCATGGGGACTTCTGTTTGTGGGGTCCCTCCGTCTGTCTGTCCCTGTCCCAGCCCAACACCCCCCAGCCTGTGGACTCAGCCCCACAGCGTGCTGGCCCAGCATTGGCCATGGTGGGCTGCTGAGGATGGCTTCAGGGCAGGGGGCTGCAGGTGGGGAAGCGCTGAGCAGCACTGGGGTGGGAGGGCCCAGGGATTACATTTGGGAACCTGAGGTCTTTGCTTGTCCTCAAGCCTCACGCGTGATGGCTTGGCCATGTTTGGGGTGAGCTGGGGACCCACTGAGAAGGCTACAGGACTGTGGTAATAGGGGAAGGCAGAATGAGCAAAACTGCCCCAGATGGCATGGTTTTGCATGGTCCTGCTCTTGCGTTGAAAACAAACCTATGCTGTGGGGCATCTCCCATCCTGCAGGGACGGCTGGGATCAGGCTGCTCCCTGCCGTGCCCACGTACGACAGCCAGACCCAGCCTGCCTGTGTGTGTTGTCTGGGGCTCCAAAGCCCGGTTTATCAAAGAAGGGTGCAAACACAAGGCTGGAAGGGATCAGAGACAGTGTCAGGTCCCTGAAGACCCTCTCAGGTTTGGTCAGGCCAGACAGGGTTCAAAACCTGCCCATCCTACCGAGCGCCTCCTCCCATGGCCAGTGCCCCTGACACAACATACGAAAACCAGCCGCAAGCTGAGGGCATGGCTTGTGCTTGAGGGCCCAGGGACTGCTGCCCTCGCTCTCCCCAAACCTGATCAGGTCGTGTGGGACCACTGACACCCCTCAGCACCCATGCCCAGGCCAGCGCTGCCCCTCCTAGGGCTGTCATCATGCTGAGTTGGGACCTGGCCATCTGTCATTGCCAGACATGTCTCTGCCCATCACCAGGACTCAAGCCTGCTCAGAGAAATAACAGCTGGAGGGGACAGAGAGCAAGCCTTGGCACTCAGATGGGGAAGGCTCGTGGCCGTAGGGAGCTCGGTCATGACAGGCAAAGAAATGGCCCCAAGACATTCACATGTCCCATCACAGTCCCCTCCCCAGCATCCCCCTCCCTGGACCAGCTTCTGCTGGGACCTGCAGGGCTCTTGGATGCAGGACCTGGCTGCATCCCACTCCCTGGGTGGCTGGATTATCCTTTCCTGCTTCACCTGACAGCAGCTGCAGGTTGGGGTGACTCCAGCATGGGGTACACGTGGGCCTGGATGGGCTGGCACAGCCCCCACTGCCAGGGCCACGAGGTGAGCAAGCCTGAGGCCACTGCTGCCACCAGTGGCCCCACTCTGTCCTGCTGCTCCGCCCCCCAGTAGCACTGTGACAGTCAGCTCCTGGGTGTCAGTGCCTTTGCGCAGGGTCTGCAGAGGCACAGGGGTCCCTGGATGTTCACGGACAGCTTGGCTGTGCACACCCCCAGCGATGCCACTAGGTCCTTTGGTGCAGGCCTGGGGCGATGGACCCGCACCCTGGGTGTCCTGCCAGGCACAGCCCTAAACCGGCAAGTTACAGCCCAGTATGATGAAGTGGTGCTTGCTAGAGGAGATGGGCAGCCCCCACCTCTCTGCGCCATCTCCCTTGCTCAGCAAGCAGGAACTGCTCATTTCTGGAGGTCTCCCACCCCAGCCTCTTACTAAATGAACTGTTTGCCCCATCCCTATCCTCCACGTCAGGCCCCTGACATCGCGGCCAGGTGGAAGGAGGACTGAGAGAGGGGCAGGAATATGGATCCACATTTGCCCAGACAGGCAGGCTCAGCGCCCTGGCTGAGGACGGGAAGGAAAGGGTGATGTCCCTAAACCAGACCCCTTCCTGAGGAGGGTCTGCCATGGCCGGTCTCTGAGCTGCCCACGGGCTCCCTGGCCATGTCCCTGTGGGGGGTCCCTGGGGGTGGCACCTCCAGGTGCAGTGATTCAGCAGCACCAGGGTGCCCCTGGGACAGATCGGTCCCCGAAGGAGGCAGAAAAGGACAATGGGATGTTGGGGCTGCTGAAGGGTGGGCATGGCACAGCCCTGGGGAGGCATGGTCCTGGCGTGGTCCACCCAGGAGGCTACTCCTGCTCTGCCACCCCAGCTGCCAATCCTGCCCTGCCCTCCTGCCTCTGGTCCCCAGAGCAAGGGCAGAAAGGGGCTTCAGGGCTTCTCTGTTCACCTGGGACCCAGCACCAGGGACCCTTCAGCCTGGGTGGGAGGGCATGGCCAGGCCAGAGCTAAATCCCCAGCAAAGAGTCAGCCATGAGAAGGGAATCAGTCTGCAGCCCAGTAGTAAATGTCCAGCCTTTCTGTATGGGACTATGCAAGTGTTTCAGGTGGCTGGATGAACTCTGTAAGGAGCAGATCATCTGGCCTCCACCTTGAGGCTACTCAAATGCTCAGGGGCGGGGGGGCACAAAACCCACGTTTTTGGAGCAGAGCTGGCTACATGGCACCTGGTGACAGGCAGTGTGCAGGGATGGGCCTGGGGTGACCAGTGGCACCATCTCCATCCCTGCCAGGGCACTGGGGAAGGATGCTCTGCCATGACTGCATTACGGGCCAGGCCCAAGGGGACCAGGAGAGACAGAAGAGCCTGTAAGAGGGTGCAGAGGGAGAGGAGAGGCAGCAGCACAGTAGCGCTGGGAGGTCTGCAAGTGCCAGCCAGGGAGCTGGGCAAGTGCGCTGGGTGCTGGTGGTGGGGCAGGGCAATGGTGCTGGATGCTCAGGGTGGCTCTGGGCATTGGGCAGAGGAGCTGGAACAAGTAGTGTTGTCGGGCGGCGGGGCTGGGTGCAGGATGGTGATGCTGGGCTGGTGCCCTGATGCTGTGTCTGGGGGGATGCTGCTGTGCAAAACTGAACAGTGATGCTGGGTGCTTTGGCATCAGTGCTGGTCATGAGCTCCTGTGCTCTGCAACACTGAAGGGGCCAGCCCAGGACCACTGGAAAAGACTGCAGTGGGGGCAGTGGGGAGCGGTGCCAGACCCGTTTAGGGGTGCTGCCCAGGTATCATGCAGAGCCCTGGGAGGTTTCCTGAGTGCTGGGATGATCCTTCAGTACAGGGTGACATTTGATGGCTTCGTGAGGCCAGGAATGGCCACAGGGCTGGGGGGCACCAGCACGTGACTCTGCCATTTTCCTGGCTGAGGGCTGTGGGACTTGGCTCTGAGCAAAGCTGCAGCTCTGGGGCTGGGACCATGAATGCTGATTGTGACCCTTGGTGCCTTGCCAGCCCTCCCAGGGCCACCGTGATTCCTCTGCCTCCTTTGGCCTCTTCCCTTTGGCAAATGGGATGTTTTTCCTGCCATTCTCAATGCAGCGGAAATTGCCCCAAGCTGATTTGTGACAACGGTGCCTTCAACTCATTTGGCCTGTCCGGGAAGCAGGCGGAAGCTCTGCAGAGCAGGGCAGGGATAAGCCAGCCTGGGGCAGCTGGGGGGCCTTGGGGACCCTGGGAAGGTCCTGGTGGGTGTGATGGTCCCTGCTTTTCCTCTCCAAGAGCCACCCTGAGTAGAGGAAGAGCCTGAGTGACAATCCTGCTATTCCCACCCTGGCTGGACAGACAGACATCCAGCAAAGCCTCTCCCTTCTGCAGAAAAGGGAGCTGGGCAGGGATGAATGGGTCAAGGGACATTTTTATCCACTGCCCTCTCACGAGTCACAGAAAAGTGTCTCCAACCCTGGGATGCAGCCACAGGCTGTGACCCCTCTAAAACCTTGGAGGAAGGGTCTTGGGCTGTGGTCTTGGGTAGACGGGGGTTTGCCACCAGCCTGGTAAAGTCAAGCCCCCCATGATGTCCCTGCAGCAAGGCCCACTTGTTCTGCCTCCCCTCTCACCAGGTGTCATCTCTGGGAGTCACCACCTTCAGTCTCTGCGCTCTGGGCATTGACAGGTTCCACGCAGCCACCAGCCCCCAGGCCAGCGCCCGGCCCATTGAGCAGTGCCAGTCCATCATCGCCAAGCTGGCCGTCATATGGGTGGGTTCCATGACGCTGTCGGTGCCAGAGATCCTGCTGTGGCAGCTGGCGCAGGACACATCGCCCGTGTCCGGTGTGGTGACAGAGTATTGCACCATGAAGCCCTCATCCAACCTGCCTGAGTCTGTCTACTCACTGGTTCTCACCTACCAAAATGCTCGGATGTGGTGGTACTTCGGTTGCTACTTCTGCTTGCCCATCCTCTTCACCGTGAGCTGCCAGCTGGTGACCCGGAGGATCAGCAGCACCGAGAAGAAGACTGAGTGCCGAGGGACAAAGCACAGCCAGTGTGAGAGTCACTTGAACTGCACCATCATCGGGCTGACCATCATCTACGGGCTCTGCACCACCCCTGAGAATGTCTGCAACATTGTGGTGGCTTACATGTCCCCTGACATGTCCAAGCAGACCTTGGACCTGCTCAACCTCATCAACCAGTTCTTCCTATTCTTCAAGTGCTCAGTGACGCCCGTCCTGCTCCTGTGCCTCTGCAGACCCCTGGGCCAGGCCTTCATGGACTGCTGCTGCTGCTGCTGCCAGGGCTGCAGCCCTGACACTGCCTCCAGCGAGGGCAGTGCCGACAGCAAGCTCAAAACAGAGATGTCCTCCTCCATCTTCTTTGACAAGCCCCGGGAGTCCCCTCCACCCCTCCTGGCCCTCGGCACGCCTTGCTAAGTGCCAGCAGGGAGCTGTAGAGATCGATCCACCACCTCCTCCCAAGACCAAACATTGTTCTGCCATTAGTGCCTGTGTCTGGACGTGGAGCAAGCAGAAGAGACAGCTCAGGGGGTTGCGCCATGGGCTTCAAACCCCACGTTGGGCAAGTGGGGCTTGAAACCCCAGTCCCCATGGCTACACTGGCGGCCTTCTTGCCTCTGCCCAAAGGCCAGCAAGGACATCAGCACCCTCCCGTCCTGGCTGCCTGGCCAGGCTCAGCGGGGCTGCTGCTCTGGAGATGGAGTTGTGCCAGAAATGTCCCATCTGAAACTATGGAGCGTTTCCATGGTGGCTTGCAGAGGACATAGCAAACACAAACTGCCCTCATCCTGTCCCGTTCCCTCCTGCCAGCCCCCTCCACAGTAGGAGAAGGTCCCAGTGACTATATCCCATCGGATCCAAGCAGTGCCCTGTAAGAGCTCAATAAACCAGTAACCTAGAGCACATCACGCATGCAGCCGTCCAGCACCGCTGAGCAGAGCCCCAGGGAGCCAGTGCTTGGGGCTTAGGTGGCTCTTCCCTAAAACCTGGGGGATCTGGGGTGGGCATGGGTAGCTGGTGGGGGCACAAGGGCAGGAAAGCAGCTGTGCCAGGTCAGGCAGCACCTAAGGGCGATGGGGAAAGGCCCCTCTGCCCCGCTCCCTCCAGGGTGACGCTGAGCGAGCTGGTGCCAGGCCAGCCCCTGGGAGGGTCCTCCCCAAAGCACCGGGCTTGGGGTGGTTTGTAGGACTCAAACTGGTCCCAGCCAGCCCAGCACTGGGCTGAGGTGCTCTGTGGCCTGCAAGGCATCCAGTTCCTCACCTGCACCGTGCAGGACCAAGGTGCTGCTGCTGCATGGTGCTGCCATGCAGTGCTGGGGTGGGGGCCATGCAGGACCACCACCCCCAGCACCCTTGGGGAGCCAAAGGGGTGACTGCATCTCATCCAAACAGCCCTGTGCAGGGCTCCAGGCCTTCATCCACCTGTCCATTGCAGGGACAAAATTGTCCCAAAATGGTGGTTTGAGGGCATCAGGGTTTCCAAGCCCCACATCCACCCCCTGCCCAAGGCTCCTGCACCTGGGGGGGGGCTTTGGGGAGCAGCCCAGGCAGTGGCATCGGCCTTAGGAAAGGCCGGGGCCCCCACGCCCGACCC